ACCGCTGCAAGCTCTGCTGGAGAATAGTGTGCTGTCGCGAACTTCCAACAGTCCTTCGCCCCTAAGCGAAGCTGGTTCAGCGCAAACGAAACCCTCAAGTGCTCCGGACACCAGCAAGTATAGAAACATCCCTCAATGTTAGATACCCATCTCATCGTTGCAGTCGGATCCTGCGTCCCATCAAACTCTGGTGGCTGCGTGTTGCTGAACTCCCTGGACAACAACGAGTCATTCACTTGCGGCCTAGCAGAAGCGACGACTGCAGTGGCCGCTGTGACAGTAGCCTCAGAAAGAGCGGCATAACGCTCGTCAAAAGTCTCAATCAGCGTGGTCTTAATAGACCCGAACATCTCTGGTATCTCGAAGATTCTTACTTGAATTGTACACCGCCCCGGTGTTTTTAGTAGTACGGGCCCAATACTACTGTCTGCACCGTATCAGTGTACACCCCAAGTCCTCCTCTTAGGATCCCAAGTCCCAAGTACTCTATTATGCATAATCCACTCTCTATAGATCTCTCATAGCTCCTCACTGCTACCTACTCACTCTCAAGCATCTCATAGCAGCTCACTTTCCCCTAGGCTAAGGCATCACAAATCAGGCCACCCTAGTCCTAATAGGTATACCTAGCCCATTCTAGCAAGAGAATACATCATATCAATCTCATAAACATATAACATAAGGGTATTTGGGGAAATCACCGTTCGGGCGCTGACTGATCGTACAAACGTCTATGCTCTGTGTTTCTTTAAAAAAATCTTTTACTTCTTTTAGAAACTTGGTTCTCTTTTGGAAATATTTCCCAAATCCTCAGTTTGAGTTCAAATACTCCCGAAGGTGTAACTGAATCCCTCAAACCAAGGCTCTGATACCAACTTGTAACACCGTAAATTTCCAAAATAATTTTTCGCATTTATAAAAACATAATTCATTTGTAAATCATAAAAATATCTTTGTTTGAAACTCAATTTATAACATATAACAATCCCAAGATCTCATAGCATAAAAATCCCGTGTGTGTACTGATCAAGCCGGCGCCTTCCTGCGATCCTCACTAGTACCTGAAACACATAACACAAAACACTGTAAGCACAAAGCTTAGCGAGTTCCCCAAAATACCACGTACACATATTAGCCACTCGAGGCTATAACTCTATGGGTTCGTGCACCCAAACTGTGTGAACCCTCAGCTTCTAACTCTGCAAGCATGCACAACATAAATCACATAGAAGATGCAGTGCAACAAACAATTTATATAAAATACTATATCACATAACTCTATTTAGTTACTCAAGGTAAGGTATAGTGAGAAGACTCACCTTGCCTATCTCGATAACTCGTAAATCCCTGAATTACTAGTGCTCGATCTCCCGAGCTATAGTCCTCCTATACACAAATATATCTCTAGTTAACACTTTCCCAACTAGGATTGACTAACTCTAGCAAGTCAACACCAGTCAACTCTGGTCAATGGTCAACAGTCAACCTAACTCGCCGAGTCCCTACAAGGACCCGATTCCTCTAAACCCCTTCCGACTCACCGAGTCACTCACCCAACTCGGTTTCCCAACCCCTGGTTCGAAAACACGGAATAACTCGCTCCAACTCGCCGAGTCTGCCAATGGACTCAGCGAGTGCATCCCATGCATCACCCCAAACGACCTTGTGAGGTCAGATCTGTTCTACTATCTCATAGATCTAGTCTTTCCAAGCTTATTTATCATGTAAAGTTTATGTCTTGGCACTTATATCACACCTATTGACTCATAAATGGTGTTTTATCCTCACACACAATGATCCCAAACCAAAACATCCATATAATCACATAAAGCTTGGACAAAGAGGCACTCTGGACCTCCATGGGTCTAAATCTAGAACCAAACTCGCTTAAGGGACCATGGGAGCACTAGATCTAGTCACAAAAGGGCTCAATAAGCCCTAAATCAACATGAACATCACCTCAACAGAAAATGGTTAAAAAATAGTACCTCAAACGTGATGTTCTGGACCTCAGATCTTCAGGAAGTTAACCCTCTTGCTTCCTCTTAGCTCTAGCTTCATTTCCCTTGCTAGACAACACCTCCAAGGTTGATATTGGCTCCTTCTCTCACTCCAAACGCTCAAGTTCACTAGGGTTTCGCTCTGGGGGCTGGTGAGCACAAATGACGGCCATAAGGCCCTTTAAATAGGCCCCAAACCCGAGAAATTAGGGTTTCATTAAACAGCGTGGACTCGCCGAGTCCACGAATGGACTCGCCGAGTCCGGTCATGAAATAGAATGAACATCCGCATCCCTACTCGGCGAGTCTTGGTGCCAACCCGCTGAGTTCCTTCACAAACCCCCAAAAAAAAAATTAGTATACCTGGGAATCCGGATGTTACAATATTTAAAGCAAAACTAAGTCGTTTTGGATGGTTCTATACCTAAGGTTAAATATGCACATTCACTTTTGTCGATTTTTTCAGAAATTGTCAATATCTTAATGTGATATGTTGCCAACTCTTTCTTAAATAGTCAACATGTTAATATTTATTCCCAAGACAAATAATTCAAAAAGTGGTTTATGAGTGTCTACCTGTACCATCTATATCCATCTATGTATATTTATTTACTAAAAGTTGATTTTATAATTTATAGATGGACCGTGAAACTTGGATGTATGAATTGCGACGTGCTAGCGATGAATATTTAGATTGCTTGAATTTTTTTTCTTAAAGTTGCTGATGATCATCGGGTGAAACAAGGAGAGACTCACATTTGGTGCCCTTGTAAAAAGTGTCATAATTTCAAAAAGTTTAGTGAATTAAACATAGTACAAGAACATTTGATATGTTATGGGTTTATGAATGGCTATACGTACACGTTGGACATGGCATGGTGAATCATTTGTTGATCGTAACATGGTTGATACTAAAAATAATGGTGATGATATTGATGATTCACAAAATGACAATTCTGATAAAGTAGATGACATGCTACATGATATCGAAGATAATATCCCTGATAAAGATTACGAAAATTTTCAACAAATGTTTGAAAACATTGAAAACCCATTGTATGTTGGTTGCACTAAATTTACCAAAATTTCTGCGGTGCTAAAATTGTTTAATTAAAAAGCAAGCAAATGGTTGGAGTGATAAAAGTTTCACGGACTTGCTAGAGCTTCTACATGACATGCTCCATGAAAATAATGAGTTGCTTATTTCATTATACCAAGCAAAAAAACTATTTTGTCCGATGGATTTAGAAGTCGAAAGAATACATGCATCTCCAAATTATTGTATGTTATATAGAAACGAGCATGCTAATCTACACGAATGTATCACATGCAGGGCGTCAAGATATATGAAAAAGAAACAAACATAAGTAAACAGTGATGTGAGAAAGAACGCCCCCATGCAAAAGTGTTATGGTATTTTCCTGTCATACCAAGATTGAAACGATTATTTGCAAACGCCGAAGATGCGAAATTATTACGTTGGCACGCCGATAAGCGTAAGGTAGATGGAAATCAATAATGCTTACTTTTTTAGAGTTGTTGCAACGCTAAATAAACAATCCATATCCAGATCACGTGCAATGACATGGACTATCGCAAATGTGTGTGTGTTTATATATATATATATATATATATATATATATATATATATATATATATATATATATATATATATATATATATATATATATATATATATATCCTCATGTGTATTTTATATTTAGTGGAACCAACAAATGTCGAATTGGGAGTGTGGCTATTACATCTCAAAGTGGATGCATGAAATGATGTTGTACAGACAATGTGGATTTTCTAAAGTAAGTAGGGTTTTTTTTTTTTTTTTTTTTTTTTTTTTTTTTTTTTAACTATACCTTAATTTTTGTTAAATTAAGTATTTTGTAATACTTAGTATGTAGAACCTTTTGAACGATAAAACACCATTTCTGGGTGCGGAGTTTGACGATTTTGTTGAGTTTTGGATAACATATTTTGTGGAAAACTATTTGAAATGAAGCTATGTTACATGGTTAGTTGTTATTATTATTATAATGGTCCTTTTTGTCTTTGCTTGATTCGAATTTAGAAATAAATTACATAAAAATGTATTTTTTGTTTTGATGAGAATGTATAAAAAAAATATTAATCTTAAATTATGATTGCAATAACAAATTATTTATGTTAAATGATTCTTTCAAGCTACAAGTTAATTGTGTATATTGTCAATGTTTTCAACTTATTTCGAATATGCTATGGTAGTGACCAAGAAGACCTCAATAGCTACATACAAAAAAGTTTAGATGGAAAGAAATAAGCAAATGTAATTAAGATTTTAGTTGAACATAATAATACGTTTATAGTTGATTTTCCTTGTATTGAATATAATATATAGCTATTTCATCTATATAATAAAATATTCCCTTTTTTTATCTTGTATTGTAATTTAGGTCTATTTTTATCACATTCTTCACATTCTAGTGGATTTGAGTGGATGATAGTATGTTGGCTCATAAATATGATAGGATATACTTCACATAGAAAAACCAATTGTATAGAATACATCATATAAGATACACCATATAGGATACGGGAAAGGTAAATAGGATACACTATATGATACACCATATACAATAAGATACATCATATAGGATACACTATGTACAATAAGATACATCAGATAAGATAGGTCAAAGTACACCATATATTGTACACCGTTGGATATCATACGGGTGTTTTAACCGTATTCTATCTATTTTGTAATATGATACACCCCCAATAGAATACACATGATTATCCGTATTATATTTGCAAAAATAGCATACACATGATTATCCGTATTATATTTGCAAAAATAGCCGTATCCAATTTCATGTTTTCTAATAGTGATATCCCGGAGAGAGAAGCGATTCTCTTGTGTAAACGATAAGTATGGTTCCATGTTTTGAGCTTTCTAAACCAGTTTCTCCAGGACATAGACGCATCATTTTTGATGTGTTGAGCCCTTTAGTGGTTCTCAAACTCCTGGATAATGTTTAAACCTACAATATAAGAGAAGAATATGTCGTGAAAGCCTTCTGATGTCTTGAACATATTGAAGTTTTTGAGAAGGTCAAAGGATTTTACTTCACCGGCCAAGAAGGCTCTGTGAGAGCTTCTTTCTCGTTTCTTCGTTGGAAATAAACGTACGTTAATCTCATGATGTGTCTGGTTGGATTGATTGTAGTGAGTTTGTTTGCTTTCTTCTTCTACATCACAATACCTTGAAGCCATGTTATTTTTCAGAACCTCAGCAAACGATGGTTTTCCTTCCAAGCCCTTCTCCTTCTCCTTGTGAATAACAATGCTTTTTAATTTTTGAGGCTTGACTACCACACTTTTGATTTTGTAATGTTTTCCTTCCTGTAATACCTTACTGGTTGTTGTTCCTTGAGACCTTTGAAACTTGGCGAGATTGACTCTTAGTTTATGTGACCCAAGCCAAATGCTATTAAGCTTCACCTCAAAGATTCTGACATTGTCAACGCCCATGAATCTCACAAAGCCAAACTTCCTGTTTGCTAGGTTCATTTTCTTTGCAATAAAGATGTCAATCACTTTCCCGAAGTGTTTGAAAACTTCCCAAAGTTCCCCCTCTTTGTAATCTTCAGGAAAGTTGGTGAAGTAAAAGGAGACTGAATTTGCTTCATAGAATTTTTAATGATAATCAGCTCCTGTTGATCTCTACAAAGTTGGTTGTTAACACTTCTGGTTGATCTGAAACTCATAAGCATAGACTTGTGACTTTTTTTTGTGCGACATCATATCTACGCATTTGTTTATTTATTTTTGGGAAATGCGATCAACACTACCCCACTTGCGTCAATACCTTCTTACGCAACATCTTCTCTTGCACCATCAGCCTTTGTTAATCTCTCTTGCGCCAACCAGATATTTCAACAACCCTTGGCGCATCATATTATTTAGTGGAGACCCATGTTATATAACCATGAGAATGATCACCTGCTTCCTCATTTGTGCGACTGAAGCTCACCGATAATCGTAACAACATATGATGTGCATGGTTCTCCGACGAACAGCAAACGAAGGAAATTTTAGCTGGCCTTCCAGTATGCTAGCTAGATTTTGTTGAACATTTAATCGGCCCATGTGCAATGATCCCAACTTGTTCATCACTGTACCCAAGCCCACATAAGTAGGGTATGTAATCATCAGGTTGGATATCAAAGATCAATCCAGGATCATTGGCTTTTTGGGTTAACATAACCCGAACCCGTAGCAAATAGGTCAATGCAGCGACAAATGGAGCTAAAGGATCTCCGATTATTGTTCCTTTGAGCAATAAAGCTGCCATTGGTATTACTGTTGAGTTAATGTAAGCTTTGATCTTTTCTCCAGCTGTATAACTCACATGTTTTGCAGGGAGGACGTGTTCATCGGCATTTAGGCTGACTCCTTCTTCTTCTTGATTCATCAATATCATAGCTGCACCACCCGCCTTCTTCACCACTTCTCCTTTGTCACACTGGCCTCCTCACACAACACCTTTTTGCTTTTAAAATCACGTCAAGATAGTCTCCATTGTCAGGCTCATTCTCCATCAGCATCTTCTTTATCCACGTGAATGCATTTGATAATGTCAAACATCCACTTACATTAAGCTTTTATTCTTCTTGTCTGTTGCTTCGATGTGCCATGCATATGGCTCAACACCATGCGCCTTTGTAGAATCCCCCCTGAGCAGACCCATGAATGCATCTCCTAAGCATCATGAATCATGTGTACTTCACGATCAATGTCTTTTCCGTCTTTTGCTTCTAAACCATGAATGCATCTCCTAAGACCCATGAATGCATCTCCTAAGTTCAAGACGTCCTGGGCAAAGTCGAAGATATATAGATAGAAATCGTGAAAAAGGGCATAAACGTCTTTGGAAAGACTATTTCGATGAGCATCCTGTTTTCCCACCTCAAACGTTTAGATGAAGATTTCGAATGAGGCGAGAACTATTTGTTCAAATAGTTAACGGTATCTCTAACCATTCTATTTATTTTCAACAAAGAAAAGATGCCTTAGGAAACAATGGTCTTTCCCCTTTGCAAAAATGCACTGCTGCCATACGCCAGTTGGCATATGGCACAACTGATGACCTCGTTGATGAATACATACGAATTGGTGAATCAACTTCAATCGAATGTCTACAAAACTTTTGTCGATGCGTGATTGAGGTTTATTCAAGCCATTATTTGAGAAAACCAAATGCTAATGACATCCAAAATTTACTACAAAAACATTCAGAAAAGCACGGGTTTCCTGGTATGCTTGGAAGTATTGATTGCATGCATTGGCCTTGGAAAAATTGCCCGGTTGCATGGCAAGGTCAATATACTCGAGGTGATCAAGGTTGTCCAACAATTATGTTGGAAGCAATTGCATCACAAGACCTTTGGATATGGCATGCATATTTCGGGGTTGGCGGGTCTAACAATGACATTAATTTACTTAACCAGTCACCGTTATTCAATGATGTTTTACAAGGTTATGCTCCTGAATGCAATTTTACTGTTAATGGAAGAACATACACAAAATGATATTATCTTGCAAATGGTATATATCCTGAATGGGCTACAATGGTTAAAAGTTTTCCACATACGGCCGACCCAAAAAGGATCAAGTTTAAAGAAATGCAAGAGGCTGCAAAAAAGGATGTGGAGAGAGCATTTGGTGTTCTTCAATCTCGTTGGGCAATTGTACGAGGTCCAGCAAGATCGTGACAACTTAAAAACATAAAGGATATAATGTATACATGCATTATATTACATAATATGATCGTAGAAAATGAAGGAAATGCAATTAGTAATTGGTCAGATGATGTTGATCCTCCTATACGTCTGAATCGAGGACCTGTCGAAGAAGTTCAATATCAAATTCAAAGAAACTCTGAACTACGCGATAATATCGTACATCATGCTCTTCGACATGATTTAATGGAGCATATTTGGGAACGTTTTATTAATATGTAATATCACTATGTTGTATTATAATAAATAAGATGTTATTTTTTTAAAATGTTTTTAAGATTTATATTTTTTTTATTGTTTAGAATAAAAAATATGAAGTAACTTAATAAATTAAATTATTGAATATAAAATAAAATAAAGTATGATATATATATATATATATATATATATATATATATATATATATATATATAGTTTATTGTAAAAAAATATTAAATATTACTTTCTATTGAGAAAGGAAAACAAAAACAAAAGTGTTTACAATAAAATGACAAAAAAAAAAAAAAGAAAGAAAAAATAAGCTTATATAATAAATTGAGAAAAAAAAAAGAAAAGAAAAACATAAGAAAAACCATACCATGGTTGAATGGGGATTAAACCCCTCATTCAATCAACCCACTCCACAATGGTTTCTATATCCATTCAACTGCAACGTAGGTTTTTTTCCCATTAAACTCTCCATTAAATGCCATTGGAGATGGCCTTAGACTTCATGGTTGCGCACCATCCCTCCCCAGTACCGGAGAACCATGTCTTGATCGCACCGACCAGTTACCACAGCGGACCTAGATTGCTTAGTACTTATTTGAATGATCATAAGAGCTCACTTAAGGAGAACGACCGCAACGGAAGCATTAAACACTAATGCATTGTGCGCTTTTCGATACCTTACCAGTCTTAAGTTGTGTATTAGGTTTTCTGACCTTATACAACCCGTTTTTATGTCACAAACCTTTTGTGACAATGCACTTGCTTGAAGCCTTTGTGATAACTTGCGTGTCGCAAAAGGAAGACCCACATGTGGTTAAAATAAAGGATTTTTTATCACACACACCACACATGTGCACAATTTTTTTTATCTTATCATTCACATTTTTTTTGTTTTTTTTTTTTAATATCAATCGTTTGTTTTTTGGAAAATAAATCTATTCAGACCTTTTATTGTTGTGCGGCACACCACACACACAACACTTTTCATTTCATAGATGTTTATTTTTTAAAAGTCTTCGGATTAAAAAACCTGTGCCCATGTGTTGTGTCTCTTCCTAACTCTTCCAACCATTATTTTTTTCTTGCTAAAATATTTATTATATATTACTAAAACTTATTTCATATATTTTTTTAGTTTTTTTTTGTTCATTCTTGTTGAAATTTTTTTCTTTTTTTTTTTATATTGAATAATAATAATTTGTTGATGAAATATCATTATTTTATGTTAAAATATCTTTATTTTCTGTTAAAATATCATTATTTTTGCTGGAATATCATAAATTTTTGCCGAAATGTTATACATTATTAAATTGTCGGTATTGAAAATCTATTTTCGGATTATAAAATGAGTTTATTTTATTTTTTTAATATCTGCAGCAGCATACATATGTTAAAAAAATAAAAACGCTTCTTATTAAAGTCTGCATCAGTTTGATCCACATTTTCTACTGAAGAGGGTTGCAGAGGTGGTCCGCAAACATTATTGATCTTTTGCTTCAAAAAAACAAACAACACTTTAATCTCTTATAGCAAGAACCACAGAACCAACAAACTTTATTTGTGTTAAATTTCAAAAGTTTATTTTTGTCTTTTGGGCTCTTACTCTTTATCCTTGTATACAAGAGATATTTGTTGGTTGTTTTGTTATCTTTTTATCCAAACATATTTTGAATATATCTTTTATGAATCTTTTATGATAAAAACAATTCTTCTTTAAAATATTTTTTTTATATGCTACAATCTTTTAAGGCCAAGACTTAACATATTTGCTTTATCATAACATCTTTTGTATGGTTTAGAAAAATATCAATGTATAATTTTTTTTTTCGTTTGTCAAAAAAGATCAAGTTTTTCATTCTTATTCAACACTTGATTTTTTTTCTTCAAACTTGTGCCCTAAATAAAATACAACATGAGTTTGCAAGTTATTCCTATCTGTCACTTTATTTTCCTATCTTGATAAAATAAAATTTTGTCTAGATCGCATAAATTCGAACATTTTTTTATTTTATTTTATTCAATTCAACAAACATTCAATTGTCATGTTGATAGTTAAAAGTTTCTTTAACCAAATTTTCAATTTCGAGGAACATGTACTCTCGAATAATTTTTAAAGTTTTTTTTTGTGTATCTGCTTCAACAGAAAACTTCATTGAAGCAAAGCGGGAAAATATTAAATCAATATTTTATTTTGCATACTTTTTACGATTCCTTATTTCAGTAACCATCACATAGGGGGGAAATGTTGAAAAATATTTTGATGTGATTGTCACTTGAAATAAATTGAGTATTGATTTATATTTTCTAATAAACATCATCAGAATGTTTCAGGTTGGAAAGATATTGAAGATTCAATAAGTATTTGAAGAATTAGATGTTGGAGCACTTGAAGCTTACTTGGAGCACCTGCTGTTGACCTGGAACACTTTTTGAAAGCTAGTTGGATCATCATGATCTCAGATGGCACATCTAGATCATATGTGGAGCATCAAGACACTAATGAATCATTTGAAATATTGATGGCTCATCAGAAACATTATTGGCACATCCATAACTCTATGGCTCAACATGAATACTTGGTGGCTCAAATCATGTCAATGGATCAATATGATCACATTGATGGCTCAAGAAGACTGCACATTGCACATCATGCATGTATAATGAAGGGACATCCAAATGCTCAAAGAAACATGAATTTCATCCATGGTCCATCATGAACATGTGGTGGTACATCCTCAAGTTCAAGACACAATCCAACATTCAAGAAACTACTCAACATGATCAACAAAACTTCTAGAAGTTGATGGCATCTAAGAAGACAATTGAACAACATGATTCTCATGTTGCTCATCACTTTTTCAATGTTGATCAAGAAGGTTCAAGAATTATGAAGACTCATAACTTGGATGGAACCTTAATGGATTACTAACAGAATTGGAATATTCCATCCATTCTCCATTAAGTAGGGCAAATGTGTCAGCTGATGACTAATTCATGATGATATATCAATACCTGATTGGTCAAGCCATGTCATGGGCTTTTCCAAAGCCTATAAATAGGCCCCTTGGGATCCATTATACAGTTGCTCTTTTTTAGTGTTTTTTACATTCAAACACTTGTAATTTAATCTTAATGAATATGAGAAATGTTTGAATCATTGATCTTGAACATTAAAAAATATTTTTATCATTAACTTGGTGATTCACAACTCTTTATTTTCTGCACTATTTGCCACTTGACGATTCTGAAACTATGTTTCAGTATTTTCAACACTTGGACTATTCTAGTCTAGGTTTACTGAAATTTTCTCATTTTTTCACTTCCCCTTGGTGGGAGTGATGACTTGAGAGTGATGGGGTATAGTGACGCCAACTTTCAGACCGACATAGATCATTTCCGCTCTCAGTAGGGCTAGGTATTTACCCTAAGCAGTAACATGGAAAAGTTCCAAACATAAGATTGTAGATGATTCAACATGCGAATTAGAGTACATAATAGCAAGCGGAGCATCAAAGGATGCAATATGGCTGAAGAACTTCATCGGAGACCTTGGAGTTGTACCAGCTATAAAGTAGCCTATGGAGACTTTCTGTGAAAACGAGGGTGCAGTTGCCTTAACAAAGGAACCGAGGGATCATGGCAGATCCAGGAACATCGATAGAAAATATCACTTCATAAGACATCGAGTGGAAGGACTCCTCGTAGTAAACTTGGCATCGTCAGAAGAAAGCCCAGCAGATCCCCTTACAAAGGGACTAAGTAGGGTTAAACACTTGCAGTATGCTAGGAGTATTGTGCTGAAGGACAATATTAGTTTTAGTGATTAAGATAGCTATT